CACTGTATATACCGCCATCTAGAACGTGTCTATTCTGGGCAGTTTACATATAACATAAAAATAAAATCCAGATTGATCACAGAGTCCAAGAAGAGAAAGGAAGAAAAGAAGAAAAAGAGAGAATAAAGAAAAGGGGAGATAGGCTAGGTAATGGCTGTAGTGAAGGCCTGCCTGTATAGCCATGTCCTCAAGTTAGTCTTGAAGGCCCTCAGCAAGGGAGACAGGCGGATTTCTACAGGTAAGTTGTTCCAGAGGTGAGGGGCCACTGCCAAGAAGGCCAGATTTCTAGTTTTTTCCCCATGAGGCCTCACTTGGTGTTAGGCCCCTCAGCCACCCAGCCTGACTGGAGTGGGTGATACAGGTATAACTGGGTGGAAGAAGACACTGCCAGATATCAAGGGCCTAAACCGTTAAGGGCTTTGTATGTAATGGTTAGCATGTTGAAATCAATGCGGAAGTGGATAGGTAGCCAGCATAAGGCGGACAAGATGGGTGAAATATGGTGAAATCTTTTCACCCTGTTAATTGCCTGGCCGCTATGTTCTGGAGCTTGTGCATCAGTCTAAAAGGAAGCTTCACGGAGAAAGCATTACAGTAGTCTATTCAAGACTACAAGCACATGGACCAGTGTGGTGAGCATTCCCACGTCTAGATAGGGATGCAGCTGGACGATCAGCTGAAGATGTAAATGGATAGACCGAACCACGGACACTACCTGGGTCCCTATGGTAAGCACCAGGTTAAGATGGACCCCCAGACTGCGAACTGAATTCTTTGTGGTGAGAGTCACCCCCCCAAATGAGGGAGTTCCCCAAACCACTGACATCAGGGCCACCCACCCACAGGACCTCTATCTTGTCTGGGTTCAACCTTAGTTCATTTAACTGTATCCATTGCAGAACGGCTTCCAGGCAGTACCCAAGGGATGGAACGGCATCCACTGAGGATGAAAAAATGAGATGTAGAGCTGGGTGTCATCAGCATGTTAGTGACACGAAGCTCCACATCCTTGGATGACCCCTCCAATAGCCTCACATAGATGTTAAACAGCACTGGGAAGATGACCGAACCCTGGAGGACCCCACAATCTAGGGATCACCGGGCCAATACATTTTCCCCAAGCTGAACACTCTAGATATGGCCCTCCAAGATGGACTGCAGCCAAGCAAGAGCAAGGCCACCAATCTCGAACTCAGAGAGCCTCCCCAGGAGGATACCATGGTCGACAGTATCAAAGGCGGCTGAGATATCAAGGAGGATGAGCAAGGACATTTTACCCCCATCGGCCTCCCTAAGTAGGTTATCCAGCAGGGTGACCAATGCTGTTTCCATGCCATGCTGCAGCCTGAAGCCCGACTGAAATGGATCCAGGGAATCTGTTTCATTCACGAGAGGCTGAAGCTGGTTGGCCACCACCTTCTCAACTACCTTGCTAAGAAAAGAAACATTAGCGACAGGCCTATAATTGTCAATGTTGTCTGCCGCCACGCTCGGTCTCTTTCTAATGGGCCTAATGGGCGTTTCCTTAAGAGACCCATTTATTATTTTAGTGGCCCATTCAGTTATCACCGGCCTGGCAGCTTTGATTAGCCAGGCCGGGCAAGGGTCAAGGGAGGTGGTGGTGGCTCGGCAGTGATCAAGGACCTTGTCCACCTTTGTGGACATCACAAATAGATTTGTTTGAGAAGCAGTTGAAGAAAGAATTTAAATTGAAAAATTGCAAATACAGAAACAAAACAAAGGTTTTGTAGAAGCCAAAAGATAAAAATAGAGCAAATGCTAGAAAAATACAACATGCAAGAGTCTAAAAATGTTGAGACCCCTATGATTGCAGATTTTCAGAAATCAGAGTCTGAAAGCGAGGAATCTGAAAATCAGGAGATCTACCAGTCTGCAATTGGAAGTCTAATGTACTTGGCAAATTGGACAAGGCCAGACATTGCAGCAGCGGTAAATATATTAAGCAGACATGTGTCCAAGCCCACAGTAAAACACTGGCAAGGAGTGAAAAGAGTATTTAGGTACTTGAAGGGGACACTTGACAGGTATTTGGTCTTAAAACCCTCAAAAGAATTGAAACTAATGGCATATGTAGACAGTGATTGGGCAAACAATAAAAACCGATGGAAAAATCAATGTCTGGGTTCACAGTATGATTTGCTAATGTGTTAGTAGGATGGAAATCTAGAAAACAAAATTCCATCGCTACATCGACAGCTCAGGCTGAGTTCTCAGCTTTGTCAGAGATATGTTCAGAAATCATCTGGTATAAACAAATGATCAAAGACTTAAGGGTTGAAGTAAATCGTGCAATAAAGGTGTTTGAGGATAACACTACTTACATTCACATGGCCGTACCAGAGAAGATGCGAAACAGAAGCAAACATGTAGATATCAAATACCATAATGTCAGAGAAGAAATAAAAGAAAAATTGATAGAATTACAATACTGCAAAACAGAAAGAAACATTGCAGACATTATGACTAAACCTTTGAATGCACAAAGACATAAAGAAATAACCAAAGAAATGGGTATATGTTCTGCTCAGGAGTAAATTAGGAGGGGTGTCAAAGTAAAAATTTACAGGCCTGAGCAGTACAAATGTCTTAATGAGCAACCACAATGTTCAGGTGTGTTAAAGTGCTGAGTCATAGTGACTCAGGAGGGCTGGCTCAGGGATGATGCAACATCTGTGCTGATTGGACACAGCCAGATGCACAAGTGTATATATGTGAACTGTGTATAGAATATGTATTCCTTCTCTTCTTGATAAGTTCATGCCGTCATGCTGTTGGTCTGTACATCTGTAAATACTGCTGTAAATACACGTCTGGTGCTGAAGGCTGATTGTGTCTGTGTGAGTCACTTTACCACCAGGCCCTGCTGAATTACAGCATGTTTACGCTAACACACACAGTCGAGGCATCCAGTGCCAGAAGCAGCAAAGCAACCCAAAACATCTTTGAACTTCCATCATGTTTGACTGTAGGGACTGTGTAATTTTCTTGGAATGCTTCATTTCTTTTTCTGTAAAAAGTGCCATGATCCTTTATCAACAAGCTCTACTTTTGTCTCATCTGTCCACAGTACGTTCTCCCAGAAGGATTCTGGTGTTGTCACATAAAGTTTTGGCATACTGTGTCAGCAGTGGTGTCCTCCTGGGCATCCTTTTTCATTCAGATGGTGATGGATAGTGAGAGCTGACACTCTTGTACCCTGTGTCTGCAGATCAGCTTGAATTTGTTTGGAAGCTAATCTGGGTTCTGTATCCACCATTTGAACAATCCTTCATTGTAATTTTTCAGTAATTTTGCTCTTCCATCCACGTCCAGGGAGGTTAGCTACAGTGTCATGGGCTGTAAACCTCTTGATGATATTGTGCATAATGGACACAGGAACATTAAGATCTCTGGAGATGGACTTGTAGCCTTGAGACTGTCAATGTTTTTCTGCATCTCTCAAATCCACAGACAACTCTTTACACTTCATTCTTTTCTCCATGCTCAGTGTCACACACAACACAAAGGTTGAATCAACATTTCTCCATCTTTACTGGTTGCAAGTATGATTACTACACTCCCCACACCTCTTACTTGTGACAAGTGTGTCTAAATACAAATTAAAGGAGCATCATATGCTTGAAAAGCAATTACCCTGTTTCCCTGAAAATAAGACCTAACCTAGTATGATTTTTCTGGATGCTCGTAATCTAAGCCCTACCCCACAAATAATCCCCAGTTAAGTGACACCCCACCATCCACCATTCTGCAGCAACCAGAAGAAGATGACATTACTGTATTTGAATAAATGTAAACTGTTGTACACGAAAAAATAAAACATCCCCTGAAAATAAGCCCTAATGTGTTTTTGTAGCAAAAATTAATATAAGACCCTGTCTTATTTTGCGGGACACACGGTATTTCTTACAATTTCGACCAATAATTTAGGCCAGTGCATTTTTGGGTTTCTGCGTGGCATTGTATCAGATTTGACTTTTCTTCTCTGGTTTTTTTTTTGGGGGGGAGGGGGGTTGTTCCAATGCAAACCAAAGAAATGAACTGTGAATACCACAACATTTGCAACTGCAGCAATTTTCTGAGAGAACAGTTGCATTTTCTGACAGAATTGCAAGGGTGCCAATATTTTTGGTCCTGACTGTATAAGGTCAGTTCAGAGAAACAAGAGAAATGCCAAGCAAATATAAAGAAAGTATATTCAAAAGGTCATGAGGTAATTTAAATTGGTATTTCTTTGAAGGTCTCTCTCCCTGGATGTAACCCGAAGGAAAAAATTCCTTTGGTGCATCTTTGGGTATCTGCTTGTTTTTTCTAAGTCTCCTATAACACATATACTTAATATCATTTTGCAAAATAATGCCTTTATTAAGATTCCAGTGAAAAACAATCTTTACCACTTCATTTATCTTAACAAGGAATATAAAAATATGAGTTAAATTCTTTATTGTCATCATTTTACGTTGACTCAACTTCCTGAGAACAAGGAATTCCCAACTTGTATGAGATTCCTTACCTCCAGAAGAGAGCTGTTTTTTTTTTTAATCTTACAGGCCTCCATAACTTCCACAAACTGTACAAATGTGTGACTATTTCCTTAGAGAAACAAAGCACATACATGGAGAAGAAGCACCATCTGATGGTTAAAGGAGACCCATTGATACTTCTCATCCTTAAAAGGCCATTCCAAAAAAGAAAGAAACCATACACAAAATCTAGAAACTACCATCCCTTTATGCCAGCTGGATTACCTGCATTAAAGCATTATTGCATTTTGCACTATTTTGCTAAGAAAATCTCTTCTCTTAATGAAAGTGCAACAAGACACCTTATCCTTATCACAGATCTAGGAGAGAACAAGATGAGCAAGGATTTGCAGCCTTAGTCTTGAACCAGTTACTTTACAAGTGCTAGTATTTCAGATTCAAACTAGGTAACCTCTGTGCACACACAAAATAAATGATACAACAAATTATTCTACTTACTTAATTTCAAGCTTATATTCAGTTATGCTTTGTTGTGCTAATGGGTTCAGAATGTCTCTTTCACTGGTATCCAAAATGCTATGTACCGCATTTCTGAGACCATGCAACTTAAAAATAAAAAAGGAAAACATTAAATTAATAGATATAAGTGAGATGATCCTGAACCTGAGCCACAATAACTTGATTGAGTCTAGATAACATATGTTCTCTTCTTCCTCATTCAAAGCCAAGTCTCATAACCACTATTCTGAAGCAGTTAGAATACTCATGAAAAGTTTATGACATCCTAACACTTGGGCCAATAGTTAGAAGCTCACATAAAACTGATAGCTGAGCAATAGTTAACATACACTGCCTAAGGCAGAGAAGTATTATTTACTCTATCCCATAAAGTAAATATATTTGCCCTTTAAGACTAAATTTATCATTCCCAAATATGAAATATATTTAGCATTTGTAAGACTCCCATAGAGATTTCTCTTTCTCTTTGTCTCTTAAGCTTCTCAAACACACACAAAAATAAACAAACAAAAACTTCTTACCTTATCTGTAAGAAGTCTGGTAACATTTTTCTGTTTTCTTGTCAGATACTGATCAAACAACTGAGCCAGTTTAGCTGCTAAAACATGCTCACGGCTAAAGCAAGGATGATGAGTGAATATTAAACCCAAAATATCAACATCCAGCTGAAATTGTTCCTCAGGGTCTTCAGATCCCACAATGTACTGATTGGCAAGCCTCATTTTTATAGCCTAAAACAATATTAAGACTTCAGTATCCATCCCTCCATTAAATACAACCTTCACTTGAAATGTTTATTCTATGCATGATCAATAAGCCACAAAATCTCAAAGATGGATCTGACTGACAGTTTGGAGAGGCAGGATATATAGACATGCCACTGTGCACTCTGGATAAAGATAACTCGCACGAGGCATCTAGTGTAAGTAAATCATGTTTCTTTCTTTGGCCTGTACATAGGTTTATGTACATACGCAATACACACACATTCAGTTGTGGATACAGAAGCAAAATATCCCACATATATAAAACTGAGATTTTTTTTTTTTGAAAGATTGAATTTCATTTTCACCTGTTCAAACTGTCTTCAAGAGGACAAGCCAAAGATTGAACTTCCTGGCTTTTTGAAACAGAGGTTCATGTACATAATACACACACATCCAAAACATTAACTCCCTTTCTTTCCTAAGACCACCCAACACTAAGAGCTACTTGCACTTCTATCTGCCCAGAAAAGTATATTGGAGGGGGGCAGAACAAAGAGAATCTGTAATACAACTATAGTTCCTCCTTGCCAAAATATTTTCAAAGTCTACTGTAGAGTTAATGACATGGTTAAGTAAATGGGTGAGAGAAAAGCAGCATGTACAAGAAGAGAAACAGATACACAGAGACAGACATTCCATTGCAAGGTTGGAACATTCCATCAGAACATTGATGGTGGACCAGCAGACTGTCTCTATGAATCCTCCTTCAAGGTCTTGTATGTTTCCCATGCTACTTTACTGGCTGGGGGATTGTGGAAAGCGTGCCAAGTAAAAATTATTAAAATATTTTTGCAAAAGCACCTTTTTAGACTACAACTCTCAGAAGATCCCAACCACCATGACTAAACTAATTTGCAAGTGCTCATTACTACACTTCTTCCTGGCTTACACAACAGACATAAGCCAACAGTTTTATTATGTAGAGATTATTCAAATAGGATTTTTTTAATCCAGAGATCCCACTCCTCTCCCCTCCTTCCTTTCCCTTGCAAAAATAATTGAGGGAAAATACAAAGTGCCTGAGAGAGAGGTAACAGTCAGAAATGGAGAGATCGAAATGCAGCCTCTGGGATCTGAATGTGAACCCTAACTTAGGCACCCTGTCTTTTCCCAAATTCTCCTCATTAGGAAAAGGGTGGAGGGGAGGTAAGTGGAATATATTAAAAATAACATTGAAATATCTTACAAGCAAAATGGAAGAGGGCAGGTAAATGGAATGCAGTATATATAGCATGGAAATATTTTAAGCATAAGAATGTGTCCCTCAAAACCAAGTCCAACCTCATTTAAACTGTTACTACACACAGTTATAATGTATCCCTGAAATTTAAGCATTCGAAGAAAGGTAACAGGGGAAAAAACATATTCAAAATATAGTATTGGAGGGTTATCATGGACCACAAGAGAGAGAAATAAGTGCATTACAGTTTAATTCAAGACTGAAATTTCACCAAAAGCTAAAATAACTGAAATAAAGCTTTAGATAGATTTTGGACATACCATGAGAAGACAAGACTCAATGGAAAAGACAACAATGCTTAAAAAAGGCAAAAGGCAGCAGGAAAAGATCTAGTATGCAACTGATTGACTCAGTAAAGGAAGCCACTGCCTTCAACTTGCAAGACTTGAGCAGGGCTGCTAATAAGAGCACCTTCTAGAAGACATTTAATTAAGGAGTCTGAAGCAATTTGAAACCATCTAACACAAGAATCTAGTAAGATGTTGCAACAAACTCACCTTCTTATAAAATGTTAATAGATCTGTTTTTTTACTTTCCTCAGTTGGAAATATTAGAGGCCTGGTAATGGATTGCTTCATTGGATTGGGCAGAGCTAAAATTCGGCCATCATCCCCAAACCACTGCTTCCCCTGCAAACAAAAAACAATAAAATAATTGTAAGAATATCTCAACAAACTTCAGAAAATAAAATCCCAATGAACTAAGGAAATATACATCCACAAAGTTACAGCAATGCTACAAGATAACGTGTGTCTATGATACATATGCCTGTAGTCTAGCACAGTGATCCCCAACCTTGGGCCTCCAGATGTTCTTGGACTTCAACTCCCAGAAATCCTGGCCAGCAGAGTTGGTGGTGAAGGCTTCTGGGAGTTGTAGTCCAAGAACTTCTGGAGGCCCAAGGTTGGGGACAATGGTCTAGCATCAGTAATGCAATCTAAGAACACAATGGACAAATATGCCCCACCATAGCATCTCACTTCAGCGAAGGTGCAGACACCTCAATACAGAGATAAACATAGCAAGCACACAATACTCCAGGCAAGAATTTTCCATTCCCATTGAACACATCCTTTTGTTTCATGAACCAGGGTGCATGGAAGAGCTCAACTGAATTCTATGGCATTGCCTACTGTGTACCAATTTTTTTAAAAAATGTGTTATCAACTATGTAAACACAGAGACAGATCATACCCATGAGTTTGCTAAATTTTAAAGAATAAACAAAGGCATATGATAGAAAGTAGCTAGATTTTGGAAATTTGGTGAAGTAACTTATGATTGTCTTAAATATTTCTGTTTGAAAATCAGTCTTATACATGTATGTACACACAGAGGGAGAGACATACACACATATGTATGTATCTATGTATGTATATACATACGTGTGATGAGATGGAATATGTGATTAAAATCTTGTATTGAACATGGGTTTTGTAATTAAGAAATGTGCAAGAGAGGTTCCATCTTGTTTCTCTGTATAAAGGATCTTTGCTATGCTGACAGGGTGTTTGCTAGTGAGAGCTGGGAAAGTGCTTTTCTGAAAGCATGAGAAGAAACATTGTGATAAGATAGATGGGTATTGTTGTGACTTGGGGCAAAACCACAGAAACCCAAATAACATCTGTTAGCCGTGAGAAGGAAGGTCAGGTGGTACCGCAGGACTGTTTGCCTAACGACGGATTGTGATTGGATGACATTGTGGGAAGGAGCAGATAAGGATTTGCCAGTTACTCTTGAAAAAGGAACTTTTACCTATGGACAATGTCACTCGTGACTCACTCTAATGTCTTTCAGGACCAACCTTTAAGTCATTAATTACTCTTAGGTCACTCATGGCCTACTCACATGGATTACTCATACACACACACAGGGAATATTCTTGACTCCTTTCATGGACTATTTCTATGGACTACTCCTATGGACTATTCTAGTGGATTATTACCAGGACAATGGGATATTTTCTTTTACAGGATTTTCCTTTTGAACAGGATTTTTCATTTACAGGATAATGAAGGACTCTGGACTTTTTCTTGCCTGTTTGGATTATTTTGTTTTTCCTGATGGATTACCTTATTGGAACTGTTTTTATTCTTTTTCTTGACTTTTTGAATTATTTTAATGTTTTTGGACACTTATATATTTTTCATGTTTTCTTTACTTCACTACAGTTTTGTGATTAATCATCATAATGTTTATTTGCTTGCTTTTGCATAACTTGACTTTTACTTTAAGGAACTTACTTTTTCTTTAATAAAATAATGATTATAAACATCAACTGGTTTCCTGAACAGTAAACTTATCTTAGGTCATCTGATGGTACATGCCTCGACACTGCATACTTAATGAGTCCTGCCTGTGGTGTATAGTATGTCTAATGACTACAAAGCCCACATGGTTTTCTATCAGTAATATCCAAAGGTACAAGGGTGTTCTCATTAGGGATGTATATGACGAGTTATGTGAAAATATCATTCGTTCAGGTACTTTTCATTTCCAGTTGCTGGGGAACATACATTGGAGAATCCTGTTGCTTTCACATACTGCTTTAAGGTTTTCCTTAGGCATCAGCTGGTCATTGTGAAAATAGAGCATTATTTATTTATTTATTTATTGGACTTATATACCGCCCCATAGCGCTACAAGCACTCTCCGGGCGGTTTACAATTTTAATTATACAGGCTACACATTGCCCCCCCAGCAAGCTGGGTACTCATTTTACCGACCTCGGAAGGATGGAAGGCTGAGTCAGCCTTGAGTCGGCTACCTGGGATTTGAACCCCAGGTCGTGAGCACAGTTTTAGCTGCAGTACAGCGTTTTAACCACTGCCACGGTGAACTGTTTGCCAACTACAGACTCTGAATATGCTCAGTTCTTTGTGAAGGAATTTTCTCTTCCAGTTAAGCCACTCTATCAATCCCTATACTGATTGGCTAAAATGCATGCTGTCTAAATGATGAGTAGACATTGTCTAGAGGAGCGGGGTAAAAATCTAATAAATAAATAAATAAATAAAGAATTAATTAATGAACTCTCCCACAAAGAGGCTAGGTTGTATTTTCCTTATAAAGAAATACTGCATGTTCCAGAGACAAAAAATTCCCCTCAACCTCAACAATATCTCAACCTAAAGAATTTAGGTGCACTAAAACTGGTGGCCTGTGCTTTCATGTCTCTTTGTTTAAAAGCATGAGTGTGTACCTTCATCCTTACATATACAATGATCAAATTAGGATACTTCAGATATAGAACATTAATTTACCACATTTGTTCACTCAAAATAATAATTTTCCAAAAACAGTAATTTTCTAATAAACACACACACACACACAATAAGACAAATAATAAAACCTGGAAAATAACTGGATACTAAACTGTTCACTGTAAATTCAGTAGCTGAAATCTAATGCTGCTAATACCTTGAACAACTTACTTCCCTCACTGGACGTTTAAACAGAGCTAGAGAAAAGCAGAGCTTTTACCTAACAATTCAAGCCCTGAGGGGACTGTATTTCATTGAAGATTTGGTATTCAATTTTATTAATTTTGGTTAGAGATGCATGCAAACCATCAGTCTGGCCCTCCAACAACACAGCTGTTCCACAGGCTTCCCAGCCCCATCTCCTCTGGCAGGCACCCACTTGGTGGCAATTTTTCAGAAATTCAATATTTCTAGGGGCAATGGGATGACAGGAGGAAGTCTTTAATTACCAAAAATTCCTACTGCTGATATAGTCATTCTGGTGTTGGTGGTTTTCCAGAATTAAAGACTTTCCGCCTTCCATTCCACAGCTCCCCTGATGACAAAAGGAATTATATGGGAGTCTCAGGAGCAGAAACAGAAATGTGTCTCCACCAAATGCCCTTGAGAGGGCAGTGGGACCAAAAGAAAGGTCTCTCCCAATGATCTCCTAATTGGGGGGGGGGGGAGAGACATGGTCCTTGACATGGTCCATTGTAAAACAATGCCTCCAAGTCCCATCCCCAAGAGACAGCCAGAAGGATACCATAGTAGATTATATTGAAAGCCATTGAAAGATCCAGCAGAACCAACTGGGACATATTCCCTGTGATGATATTGAAGGAGAGTGTGATTTGTAGTCTGAGGAAAATGGAGTCAGTTAGGTTCTGTGTGAAATAATTTGAAGGTACAGAATTTTTTTTTTCTGTAGAGCTTGGTACAGCATGTCATGAATTTGATTATGAAAATAGAATAGTATTTCATAAGATTTATTTCAGAGCTGCAACGAAAAAGCTAGAAATCTGTTTGTGTCCAGGTGCTAATTAGAGAGAAAATGTACAAGGTCAGTTCTTCTCCAGCTAAAGAAAAAAAAAGAGTTAAGAAGAGCAAGCTGACCCATATCTTATCTCAACTCCATGGACAAGGACATAACTTCTTAATTTAAGGAAGATGGGCGAAGAGAGACAGAAGAAGGAAGAGGACGGAGAAGAGATGGAAGGGAGAGACGACACACCGAGAGAAATGCAGCCGACAGGACTTTATCTTTGCGTAAGAATGCTTATTTAAGATATAGTTAGTGAGTTTATTGTTTTCACTTTTATAGAGGAAATGACTGGTGGCTAAGGCTGGGGGTTATTTTGGAAATACTAAATGACATTAAACTAAGCTTGTTGAAATGTTATCTTTTGTAATAAAATATAAAAAGACAAATTGTCTGTAAGCTGTCTCCTTGTTTAGACCAAGCTACAGTAGTAAATTGGATATTTTTGACTTAGATTGTTTTGATCTGGCCACATTACCATATTACCAAATGAGGGTCCTAAAGTAAATAAAGAGGAAGAGCAGACCTTCCAGATTGTTTATTTAAAATCGAGACAGACTTGGGTGAAGGAGTGTGAAGTCGCCTAGAGCAAAATTACCGGACCCGGTTTTGCTGGCATTAGGGACTAATCATTCTGAATCCCTCTCTGTCTCGTGTAAAGGCAGTTCTTAGGAACGCTTTT